CGTGTAAAGTCAGTCTACTCTGAAGCCATCTTGATACATCGCCTCAACAGTGTGAAGTCAGAATTCCGTCAGGTGATGCCAGGTTCCGTTTGAAATTTACTTACAACCTGCTTGGGCACAGAAGCCATTGTCTTCAGACAGCTGAATTGACAGTTACTGTGCTGTGACCTGGCGTTCTCCGTTCAAAGGGTCACCCCAAGCAGAGTCGTGGACTTCGCCTGGTTATTAATGATTGTTGGCACACCCTGTGCAATGTATCTAAATTGAATTATGGTACCAGATAAAATTATTGATGGGAATGAAACTTGTGTATCATCCATTATCATGTGTAATCAATAAACGATTTAATACCCTTTTGGAAAAAAAAAAAAAACAGCTGGGACACAATCCCAAGTGACCGTCTGCATTAGAGATGACAAGGCCTGACCATGCCCCAGGCCCGACTGCAGTTCAGATGGATGAATGTCCATCTCCTAAAAGACGTCAAACAGAAGATGGTCTATGACACCCTCGTGCTCATTTTCAACCCTTAGGGGGCTCTCTCCTATCCCTGGAGATGGCGCGATACGGGGAAGGCATGTTCGGTCTCTGGGGTTGGAGGGTCTTGAGTCCTAATCCCACCTTTGCCTGTTACCAGCTGTGTGACCCTGGGCAAGTCGCTGAACGTCTGTTCATGGAGAAAATGGGGCAACGCAGAAGATGTGCTCGGGGGGCATGGTACAGGGAAGGCGGTCACTGCATCACGGCCGAGAGCCTTTGCGCGAGGTCTCACATGCCCCCTGCAGGGCCAGGCTGCGAGGAGGGATTCTGCAAGGCACCTTTTCACAAAGTGTCACCCCCGCCGCAGCGGGAGGTACCCGGAGGTCCCCCGGCCAGAAGCAAACACTCTCCCTGCGGCTTTTCTTTCTTCCAGGAAAGAGCGGGCGATGCTAGTACTCAGAGTCTGGTTCTTGGCTGCTTGGAGATAACTTGATTTGCGACTGGATCTTACACAGCGAAACAATGAACTTTCGGACGGGGGAGTAAATCCAGATGAAGCTTTTGTGTGGCCTCCTCGAGGACCCTCGCTGACCCTGACGAATTCCTCCTATGTCAAAACGAGGAGGACCCTCGATGTCAGCATCAGGAACTGGTCTCTAATGGTCAGCGCTCCTTTCGTGGGTGTCCATCTCGGCTCCCAAATCGCATCTGTTAGTGACATTTTCTGCCTTAGCCCATCGACCGGAATAAGGAGATGCTGCAGTACTAATCCATTTCAAGGTTTCTGAACAAACAGCCATAAATATTTAAGCTTCCGCTTTGCCTATTAAGGAAAATACCATCTAAGATAATTATTTTGCCTCCACCTGACAGGAAGATTTACACAGAGGATGGGACCATTTTAACCTCGGAGCAAATTCAGAAACCTTGAACCCAGACGGTCTTTCTCTACCCCACAATCATTCCGATGCTCCGAGATGCCGAAACGCCTAGATCCTTACAGGACAAATGCCAGCACAAGGCGAAACGAGCTGAAGATGCTGTCGATTGAGTTTCCAAAGTAAGTGAAGCTTGTTTTTCAGTGAAGGTCACCTGGAACCTAAACATGATTTTGGTTCCTGCTCGTTGGGTGTCGCCTCTGCTAAACCGTCAGCGCTTTGGGGGGCAGGACCCCCTCTACTTCTGTGCCCCCAGTGGCACCACCCTCGGCACAGTGAGCAGGCAGAACGCTCTCTGAACACGTGAAATTTTGGGGGGTTTGAGCAGCGTTTAGTGTGGCCTGCAGGCGGCCCGAGTCTGGGGTTACTGCCTGATTCCAGCATGTCTTAGTCACGTGGCCTCAGACCATGACTTTGCCATCGGGCATCTCACCTGAGACACGGGCCTGACGTTATGCTCCTTCCGAGGTTATTTATGAGGGCCGAGGATGAGTACGTAAGGTAGTAGACATTCAAAAAATGGCGGGGTGCTCCCCGTATTATTGCTTGTAAAGTGGACAGAAAGAGAGGAATGCAGGCTGGCGGAAACTGAGGACCCCGTTATCCTCTGTGCAGTAAGAGGCCCAAAGTCGGTTTTCACTGCACCGCGCTCTCGGATGGTGTGTTCCCAGCATCCCTCTCCCTGACAGGTGTTCTCAGGATAGATCTTTTGATAGCTTGTTCTCAGGTTCATAGCATGACATGGCCAGCCCCGCAGAGGCACCATCTTCTTCTGGTACCTTCTAAATGGCAATCAACTTCTCGGTTCAAAGAGTCTTTCCAGGCCAGCCTAGCCTCTGCTCTCCTCCAAAATGACGGCGAGAGCCAGGGTCTTCTAAGAGGGGCTGGCAGGAGGCTGCAGGAGGCTCGTCATCCCATGTGGCGAAGGCGGACAATGAGAATGGCAGGACCTACCTGCCTTGGGACAGACAATACTCCACGCTGCAGGCAACATCCTTATGGGGTTATCATCCCCATTTTACAGGTGAGAAAACTGAGCTGTGGAATGTTTAAGTAACTTGACCCAGGGGTAGAAGCAGTGCTCAAACATGGCAGCCGGAGTTCCAGAAAGCGCTCAGATGAAAAAGCCTATCTATCTCACGAGGTTACGTATTGTCTGACTCCATCAGAGAATGTTCTTGACATGACAAAATTATAGAATGAAAAATAGCGGAATGGCTGCCAGGGGTCAGGGATGGCGAGGGAGGGAGGTCAGGAGGGAGGTGAGTGTGGTTACAGCAGGACCACAGTGGGGCCGCCCTGTGAGGATGAAACTGAACCGCCACAGGAGATCGCGTCGCACAGAACGAAATAAACAGACACGCGACTGAGCGCAAGTAAGAAATAAAATAAAATAAAAAGGCCCAGAGTTACCAGGATATTTTAGAAGTACATCTAGGTGGAGGAAGGGAGTAGGGAGGTTATCACATACAGTTAGGACGCCATCGTGAGTGTAAGAGGCTGAACATGGCCCCCCACCCCGAAGGTGTGTATGTCCTTACCCCTGGAAACTGAGCATGTTCATTTTACCCCATAAAAGGGACTTTGCAGATAGGATTAAATTAAGGATTTTGAGATGGGGAGAAGATCCTGGATTATCTGGGTCGGGGTCGGGGGGATGGTGCTCCATATAATTAATCACCGGGTCCTTAGGAGAAGGAGGCTGGAGGTTTGGAGTGAGAAAAGCCACAGAGAGAGATGATAAGACACTAGGCTTCTGGCGTAGAAGACGAAGGATGGAGCCAAAGACGGGGGACAGCCCCCGGGGGCTGAGAAGGGCCAGGTGCTGCAGTCTCCCCAGAGCTTCTGGAGCGGGGGCAGCTGAACCCACAACTGGACTTTAAACCAGTGAAACCGATTTTGGACTTCTGACCTCTAGAGCTGTAAGATAATAAACCTGTATTGTTTTAATCCACTAAGTTTGTATTTGTCATAGGCGCAAGAGAAAATCAATACGAGGAACACTGAAAAGACGAGCTTCGATCATTTGGAAAATTCCACCTGTGTGGGACGCTGTCATCCCTGGTGGTATTGGATGGCGGAGGTGTCACTGGACATAGGAAGCTACTCGTCTGATCGGCAGACACTTTTATTTCGAAAACTGCTCCCATCCCCTGCTACCAAGCTTTTACAGCGTCCAGTGGGTGTTACGTGGGGCTGGCACAGCTCATAATCACTGTCTACTGAATCCACGTCAGCCTGTACAAGGCTTCCAAAGCGATGCTGCCTCAGGAGAGCGTATTCTGTCCCTGTACCATCTCGCTGTACTTCATGTTTGAAAATAAGACTATTCAAGCTCACGTGATGCCTGGAGATACTCACATGTGAGTTCTTTGAGGGGAACAACCCCAGTAAGTTAACCATCAAGATAACATATCAGCTTTGGCCATGTAATTCGGAACTTAAGTTTCTAAGTAAATATTCTAACTCTACGTTTCCGTGCTGTCTAGGACTGTAACAGACAAAAAAGCCTTTAACAAAGGACTATAAATTAGCTTCCCTCTTGGAGTTACACCTGCTACTGAGGGTCTACTAGGTGCCAAACATTGGATCAGTCACGTTCATCCTCATAGCGGTTCTACATAGAGCTTGCTATTATTCCTAACTCGCCTCTGCAGAGACGGGTTCAGAGAGGTTAAGCACCTCACCTGAGCTCCCACAGCCTGCAAATGAGAGTCAGGACTGAAGCTCACACTGGTATGATTTCTAAGCTCACGTCTTTCCCAATGTACTGCCTGCCTCCGAAATCAATGCGTGGGGTGACATGTTTGACAAATGCCATAAAAGCTGCCGACAGCTAACGTGAGAGCTCTGTGAAAAGCAGAAGGTTGGGCTAACTCCGAATCCATTATTTTTGCCGTGTGCTCAACTCAATAGGGAAAATATTGTTCCATTCACAGGGCCGTGTGTGCAGGGAAAGTCAGCCACACAGCGACCCTGGGTTGTAGCCCATTCTCTCACTGGCATGTAGAAAGCCTCATAAAACAGGAAGAAAATGACGCGGTACGCATGATAACAGAGACAAAGCAGTAGGGCCACTGCTGTAAACATACGAACCTTGGAACCATTTTGCTTCTAACCACTCCATGAAGCTATGTTCTTCCTAGATTCAGCACCATGCTCCGTTCTAACGTGTCGTTTAGAGCACTAATGACTCTGATTTTGCTGAAAAGCCATCCTTGGAACCACCTTCTGACCCCGTTTATACACGCAGAACATTTTCACAAGCGAGATCCCTCCTTCCCTGCTCAACAGTGTTTCTTAAATTGTTTGACCACGACCATGTAAGAAATACATTTTACCGTGCGACTAGCTCGCAGGGGCACATAACGAAAATAAAAGTTCCACGGAACAAGACAGACGCTTGTTATGAGCAATGGGGTCCCACACCTTCTCTTTCTGCGTTGCTCCTATTAGCCTGGTGGAGTCTATTTCGCGGTTATAGTTCGCACAGGGACTCGGTGACTCACTGATGACCCCATAACCCCCAAGGGAGCTGTGGTTGCAGCTGGTCTAGGAAATAAGGAGAACCGGGGTCCCTACCTCCGGGGCGATGTAATCTGGGGTCCCACAGAAGGTCCTGGTCGTGACTCCCTCCATCATGTGTTCCTTGCACATCCCAAAGTCGGCAATCTTGATGTGTCCCTCTGAATCCAGCATGACGTTATCTAGCTTCAGATCCCTGCAAGGAAGCGTGATAACATCAGCGTCCTTCCCCCGATGTACCCTGGTCTGCTCTGGAGCTAGCGAGACAGGTGGATGCCTGACGAGCCGCCATCTCAACAGCATATTAAATACAAGGCCCAAGAGAGTGGGGACCAGGAATCATTCTTATTACTTTTTAATCTCCAGAGCCTAATGTAGGGCCTAGGAGACGGTCGGTACCTAATAGATGCACGTGGAATGAATGACTCAGTGGCTGAACTAGCAATTCCCAGCGATGGCTGTGCAAGCGAATCACCCGTTTGGCAGGTCCGGGGAGAGCCTGGTCATTTGATTTGTTAGTATCCCACACAGCGGGGTCTGACGCACAACCAGGTTTGCAAAAAGCACAAGTGTTTCACCGCACTGGGTCACACTCGCACCCTTGCTGTTCTGCCTGGCACCACGTGCCCTTTTAATTACTCTTCCCTTGACACGGGAAAACGTTCTTCTTTCTTTGGCTCCAGACCGTCCACTGCAGCTAACCAACGGAAGAATTTAATTCCGTCATCTCCCCCTCGCCTCTCCCTGGTTCCTCGTGTTCTTCTCTGGCTGAGCATCTAATAGAAATTCAGCTTCCACTGCTCCCTGACCTTCCGTCCAAATAAAAGGCAGTGGAAGGAGGTGTTGGTGGAGAGAAAAGCGTGTTTTCTCGTGGAAAGCGGAAACAAGATACATCTTGCAAGGTCCAGAAATCAGAAGGTGGTTCTGATTTGCCTGGAGGCTGCAGACGAAGGTGGGCCCCAGCAGGTCTCTGCTACCTCGGGGATCATCAACTCTGTGTCTTAAGTCCCCATCTCAGAATCACATGCCCACAGAGGCCCAGAGGTCCAGCAAAACGCTCAGCTTCACCGATGGTGGTGGAGCCTCACTACATACCTATAAATGATTCCTCGTTTATGAAGAAAGAACAATCCAATGGAAATCTCTGCTGCATAGAATCTGGAGAAAAAAAAAAATGCTGGTCAGGTTTCTGGCTTGCTTCTCTGAATTCCTGTTGACTTGGTACCTCCCAAGTTCAGGCGTCCGAGAGGTAACAGAGTGTAAGACCTGTGAGAGACCTCAGAGACCAGCAATGCCGCACACGTGTCCTCCCGACCCTCTGCTGACCCTTCGCCCTGCCCTCTGCTGCTTCCTCTCTCCACTTTCCCCTGGGAACGATACAGCTAACAAACCAACAAGACGCGTCGATTATCTGCCTAGAAACAAGTACTTCTTGGCTGGGGTGGGCGGACAGGTAATTTACTGCTTAAGAGAAATTCGTAATACAATTTTTTTTTTTGAGAGTGGCTCTTCTATGTCGGGACTACGATAGAGTGGAGAAAATGACCATTTTCCTATTCAGGAACAGAACACGTTAGTGTTTGAAAATCCAATTATGCCCTGGAAGACAAAGTATGGTGTGTGATGAGCCCTTTAGCTGGTTACCTCACCGCACCCCTCCCCCCGCCAACCCCAAGTGCAGGGATAAATGGGACACACTGTGATTCATAGCTGAGTTTACCCGTTTCAATACTTCATCATAAAAAGCAGTTACTGCCATCGCTTCGAAACTGTTAATAGGTTAATATCTGACGTGCAGAATACACGCTGAAGGATGTTTTAAAATCTGTATTGCATTTGGGAGTCTTTGAAGTCTGAGAAGCCACAAAACTGTGCCTGTGCAAACATCACACCCAGGAGATTTAAAATAAGCAATGCGTCTACATGAGCACAGAAAGCTCCCCGATGAGTGATAAGGACGGAATTCTTCGCAGAATGGGGGGCGGCAGCTCTGGGAGCTGGTGGGAGAGAGCGATGCAGCGGGGAGGGAGAGGAGATGGGCTTACAAGTGACTTTTCCACGACTTTTCCTGCTTTTCCGTATTTTTAAAATAAAACCTTTTGGCAACACGGAGACAAGGAAGGGGGCCGACGAGACACCTCGCGTTACTTTACAACACAAGGAGGCTTTTCTGCTATTTGTTCTTCACAGCTCTGTCTTATCGAGCTTTATTTGACAATCGGAGCATTTTAAAGCTTTGTGACTGAGAACACAAGAGAGGGGATAAGCGGAGGCATTTCTGACAATTGAAAAGGAAAAACGAAAACAGAAAAATCCGCCTTTGCATTTTGTAAGCTTGCCACCCATGAATTCCCTAGTCTGCCTTCAGTCAATTCCCCAGGACAGATCATCCACGCAGGCCACAAGTTCTTCAGAGTTATCTTGTAGTTGGACTATCAGCCAGAGTCCTGTTAGCATTTGCAAACTTGATTCATCAGGGAACATGGTCGCTGTGCATCCCCGTTGAGGGAAATGAAACAGCTGTTTGTTTAGATTTGCTCCCGTTGAGTTTCCTGTGACTTCCTGTCCCCTGAAAAATGGATGATTTTCCAGGTATCCAGGCCCGCCCTTCACATGGGCGAATCTCATCTTCCCCCAGAGCCCACGTCTCATCCCTGGGCTGTTGACTCTTGCATCCCGGCTTCCGAGGCCCGTCCCCATGAAAACTTCCAAACCGAGCTCACGATTCTCCCCACAAACCGCCTCCTCTCTGCTGGCTGCCCCCGCCCGAACCTACAGTGGGGTGTTGCCAGAAGAGGTTCCTCTCTCCTCAGCACCCCAATCACCGAGTTCCGGTTTTCTTCCTCCAGGATGCTTCTCAAAGACACCCCTCGTTGGCTCCAAGGTCCAACCCTGATCACGGCTCCATTCTTTCTCCTCGGCATAGACCTTTACCAAGCCCCGTGCACCAGCCACTGCCCTCCCCCCGATCCTTCCTCCTCCTCTTGGCCACTGAGCTCTGTGAAAACTTGACCTGCCAATGTCGAGTCCCCGTGACGCCCCATCCAGCCTTCTGCTGCCCCTCAGCCAGGCCCTCCACAGGCTTATCACTCCCGTGCCCCGCATTCCCTACCCCTCCACACCTCGCTCCATCTCTCACACCTCGGGGTTGGGCATTCTCCGAGGACATTCTCCCCCTACACCCCTCTTTCCGGGGGGTTTGCATGGTGTCCTGTGCCACCTCTAAAGTTACGGCAGCGCATTGCAGCTGTCGAGTGGTGTCTCCTGTTTCAGGCCAGGCGGTGAGCCCCCCGAGGGCAGGGCGCCCCTCATTCCTTTCACACTCTGAGGTGTCTTGTCGTTCCCCTTTCATTGTGGGTGGCCAACCACGTGTTCAATAAAGGAGACTGACTCAAGAGACGAGGGTGGGATTTGGTGACTAGGGGGTTATGCCAGCGTCTCCAACTTACAAGACATGGAAGAATCCTCTCCCTAGGAGATGTTTAGACGGGCTCTGCTGACAAATCTGACCCCGGGGGCGGGGTGGGGCAGAGCGCTGCACCTCGAACTGGGCAGAGCCCTGCGTTCCTGTTTCATCCAGCAGAAGTTCCCACTGGGGAGACTGTGTGTCTAAAGGAAGGGACTTAAAAAAAAAATACTCACACTGCTTGGGGTTCCTTAAATTTTCCTACTTGCTGGATGTGGTACATGAGGTCCCCGCCGTTGACGTATTCCATGACGAAGTAGAGCCGATCCTGGGGACCAAGGGTCAACACGTCAGTGATGCCTCTGCGGGCGGGGCGGCCCCCCTCGCCCTCCACAGACTGTGTCTTGCTTTCTCATTAGTAAAATACGTGGGCCGCACGGACAGATCTGCTCAGTGGGGCCTTTCGATGTTCCTCCCCCTCCCCAAGTAAAGAATCAATAGAAAACCCTACCACATGAAGCAGAAAGCCATGGCGTCAGTCTGAAATACTGGCTCTCTGTCAACATGTCAGCTCCCTCCTGGCTACGTGTGGCCCCTATGATAGCAACGGCCTCTGACGGTCGTCCCTTTTCTCCCATGATACATTTCATGATACAGACATGATACATTTCTAAGTCAGGGAGGGTGTGAAGACTCCATGTGGGCCACTTATTTAATTTTAACTAGTGTTTCTGAGGCATGTCTCAGAGGCATGCCAGAGTAACGTGGTCATGTGCTCAACGGGATGCTTCTGAAGACAAATCTCGCGAGTTGGGTCGGGCTTATAAATTATAAATGCTCAATGACATTTACTGTGGGGGAGGGGGCTGGAAACGGAGAGGCTAACCAAATATCCTTCTGCATCCATCATGAGCCCAAAATATTGTTTTTGATGTCCTCTGTCACTGTCAGGCTAAGTGCTGGCCCCATGAAGGGCATGCATCTGAGAACCAAACGAACCTTCCTATTTCTGAGGATGTGACACTAATACAGGTGGGGAAACGGAGGGAATTTAACGGTGAAATAACTAACAACACAGCACCCCGAGGCGAGAGCTGACCTCTGCTCTCTTCTAGAAAACATCGCCATTTCGCAGAGGTTGTTAAACATTAAAGTGTTGCACAGGGAGAAAAAAATGATGAAGCTGCTGCTAATAGCCAGGAAATGGCTCTGGGAGCCTCGATCTCTAGCTTTCCTGTTATGAACTTTAATTTCATCTTTATTTCTCTGCTTTGGAGCTTTCTGGAGCTTAATCAGTGTAACCAGGGTTACGGGATCCGGGCTGGGATTCAAGACATAGTTGTCTCTTCCAGGCAGATCATCCTTCTCTCCTTGGTGCTACTTAGATGCTGCCAGGAGGGAGCTGTCCAGGCCACTGGCACAAGGCTGACACGCAGTGGCCGGCGCAGGGCTCTGCGGCCCCACTGCCCATCCTGAGATTGTGTGGCTGCTATTACCACTTCGAGATTCTAAAATCCGAGAGTATGCAGGGATGCCTCCCGAGAGATTTTGAGGAGAGACATAAAACAGAAAATCAGTTTCTGGCCAATGGGAAGATGAGAATAATAAAAATCACAACGGTTACAACTACAGATACAGATACAACTACAGATTATTAAGTCGTATCTTAAAAAGGACAGCCACTGAGAGGTGGAAAGCCTCGCTGGGGTCCCTTCTCGATGTTTATATTTCTGGCAGGTCACTGGCAAACACCATGCCAGCACCCGGGCCTCACGAACCGCTAGCTGATCAGTGCTTTGGAAGTTTTTGGTCCTGTTTAGTTATACCATATGACGGGGCTCAGCAAATTTTTCCCATAAAGGGCCAGACGGTAAACGATTCAGGCTTTGCGTGTGTCTTGCAACTAACTACTCAACTCCGCTTGTGCAGCACGTAAGCAGCTGTGGATGACAGGTAAATGAACGAGCATGAACAGTCCGAGAAGACTATGATATTGATGTCTGGATTTCGTCTGATCTTCACATGTCATGAAGCAGTGTTATTTCTTAAACCTTTCTTAGAGCTCGTGGGCTGTACAAAACAGGCCAGATTGCTAACCCCTGCTGTGTGCGTTAAAAAAAAATAAAAAAGAACATTCTCTTTTATGAAATCGAATCTCCTAACGTCCCGAGGCAATGCGTGGCAGCTGGCTTAGCGGTCTGAAAATGCCAGGACTGTGAGTCGCCTCATTGTGTTTGTAGCTCTCAGTCTTAGCACGTTGCTTGGCGTGGAGAAAACCTTTGACATGAACGTTTGCTGAATTAAATGGAATTAATGCCAAGTCTCTAAGTAGGGCACATTACAGAGAGGGGACGCTCCAAATCTGCCAGTGGCACAAGACTGAGAGGTTGTCCCCAGGTCACCTCTGCTTGGCAGAGAAGAATGTGGGGCGGAGTAGTCCCCGGTTATGCCTTTCTCCAGCCTTCTCCACAGCAGGAAGGCGGACACAGATGCTGAGAACCCTTGGGTTGGGGGCAGCCCTCGAGAGCACGCCGTGTGGTGTGTCCCCGGGGGTCCTTACCACCGTCTGGAAGCAGGAGTGCAGCTGTGTCAGGAACGGCGGCTTGTCAAGCAAAGCCAGCACGCGCTTCTCTACCATGGTGCATTCCACGTCGTCGTCCTGGATCACCACGTCCTTCTTCAGGATTTTGATAGCGTACAGTTCTTCCGTACCCTTCCTGTCGGCCAGCATCACCTGAGAGCAGACAAAGGGCAACCGGGAAACTTCGAGGCATTCTTCTGGTGCTGGGGGTGGGGAGGAGCCAGGTCGGGTGACAGCTCGGACAGTACGTGCAATGATGGACATGTGTGATACGAACACGTGTCAAGTTCCGCTCTGTGCAAACTATGAAATAGTGCCTGCCAGTCATTGCAAACTAAATCCCTCCAGCACTGTATAATTTCTAAGCTGTCCCATCTGGGTACTGTGTAGGCTATTGCCACACGATGGCGCTGTTGCGCCCGCTTAAAGGACTTTGCAACATTAATCTTAGCGTTAAGTTTTGAATTATGCACATTTCTCAGGAGCATCCTTCCGGCAACAATGTGACTGTTCTTTATAGGCTTCCCACGAGTCAGGAATCCAGGACAATGAAAAAGGTAGGGTCGAAATCAATTCCTGGATCTATGTTGAAATTCGGGGCCAGAAAAGCCACATGTAGACAGACATACAGGCTGATCGCTGAAGAAACCCAGCTCAGTATCTCTTAATTATTACATTCGCTCACCACCCCACGAGTCAACACTTAATTTTAGTTGTGAAAATTATTCATTCTGGAATCCAGCCAACATTTTGGAGCGCCCGTTCTGTTCTAAACACTGAAATAGTGACACACAGTGAACCCTGTGGCTTTTTGGATACAGTTGCATTTAATGACATGAAGCAGGATACATCCAGGAAATGAGTAAGGAGAGCAGAGACCTAAAGGGCGGCTCTGGAAAGCTCAGGGAGAACGAGATGATCCCAGCATGCTGTGCAAAAGCCCGGCCACTTCGCAGGACCTCCTGCTTACCTTTCCAAAACTCCCCTTCCCCAGGACCATGAGGAAATTGAAGTCGGTGAGTTTCACCCTGTCAAGGTTGTTGGAAGGTTGTCTCCTGTCTTCTGAAGGACTGATTACTTTGTTACCAGCAGGGCCAAGCTTGGCTTTCTAAACAACAAGCACACAAATGAAAATAATCATTTCTTTTTCCCCCAGGGAAAAGATTGATAGAAAACGGTTGTAACTAAGCTTGATGCCAGGTAGGAGGCGGGACAGGGTAAGAAAAAGAACCTGAGGATGATGAAATACCTATTCACACTCAGTAGCTATACTTACCCTAAAGGCAGCATTTGCAAAGTACCAAAAAAATAAAAATGCCCTTACCTATCAAGAGGCAACTCTTTATACAGTTAATGAAGCATGGAGCCACGGGGCTCTATCAAGGGCAGGCTGAGTCTCATTCTGGAATATAAAAGGTTAACTTCTTGGGAGAAACTGGTGCTTTGTGACAGTTAACATAATAAAAGAAATAAACTGTGTGCTGATATTTTTCTTATTTCTAGGTTTTCCAATTTAACATGGATCTGCATAGAGGAAACTTGTATCCACGCATAAAAGGGGGAAGAGTATCCTCTGGAGAGGAACCGTTTAAAAGGCACGCCGCCGCCGTGGGGGTGATTTATTTCTCCTTTAAAAGCCACGGAATGAAAAACATGGTGTTTTTTAAAGTCGAGAACTGAACTCGTGAAGAGAAACGGTGAGACGCCTGAGACTCTGGTTTCACACAAAACAGGCTCAGCCCTTTGGGCCTGAAGAATATTTGGTCAGTGACATGTCAATTACCAAAAGGAGTTTTTATAAACGAGACTCGTGCCACACGAAGGTCCTAGAGAGATGATGCCCTCACCACTCTCCTGACGGGGGGATGGGAAAGGGGACGTCAGCATCTCACGTCAAAGGCAAAAAGTAAGAGGGCTCAGCCGAGAAAGAAAGACAAGTGAGGTCCCACAGGAACATCTCAACACCCGGCAAAGGAGCCTGGAGGGGTCGGAGAAGCTCCCGCCGGGATTCTGCATTTCGAAATCTGCCTGGCGGTGAGGGATCCAGGTGCTAGACTTGTCAGCTGCTGACAGGCCAGGGTCCTGGGGCCACAGCCCTGAGTCGCAGGGCCAAGGCTCCTGCTTTGGCACATGCTCAGTGACAGGGTGCACCCCTGTCTCCCGCACAGAAGACACGACTAGATGCAGCTCTGAGCTATGGGGCAGGTGCCAGCTTATCACTCGGGTCAATGAGGGGGTTACCAAGAGCACGTGGGGAGCAAAGAAGGCATTCGGGGGGCTTCATCATGTGATCGAAGCACTGGCACCAGCTCTTGGGGGAAAATGTAGGATTTGAAATATTTTCTTGAGCAGCAGAGAAGCCTTTTGAGGGGCCATCTACACTTTGAGCAGCTCTCCATCCCACAATCAGAGTGAGCTGCCTCGCGCCAGGCTCTGCTGAAGGAGCCTTAGCAGAATGAACCCCGTCAGCGGTCTCCGGAACCCCAGCTCTAACGCAGCGCTGGGCGCGGGGTGTGCCCTCGACATTTCTGCTGAATGAAGGAAGACATGAAGCCAGACTGCGTTCATCAGATGCGGGGCTACGAGGCCAGGCTTCTCTCTGATAAACAGAACCGGTTTGTAAGGGGGTCGAACCTCACGGCTGGAAGCAGGTGCTCTGATGAACGAGCACACCCGTTTAACCACAGACATTAAAACATGGCGGAAGGGCGGCCCTGACGTTTTTGTTTCCAGGCTGAGAGTATTTAATACAGTTGCAATACACCCCTATTGGCAGCGCATGTAGGAACTTGGGGGCCAAGCTCTGTGAAGACAGAACCTGAACGGCGGCGGCACATGAACTGGCCTCCACTTTCACAGCGGATGGAAGGAACTTTAAGACAGACTTGCGACAAAGCGCCAGGACTTAACCCCTGGCATGACATCAGAGCCGGGGCCAGCCCCCGGCCTCCGACCCGCTGCCCCAGGAATGACGGCAAGCTGAGAAACATTCTGGTTTGTGTCCAACTTTAAAGGAATCATCGAGAAGTTTGAGTTAGAGAGGAGAGTACAGACTCTGCCGCTCTGTTCTGCCCTTCCGATGTATAAAGAGATAAAGTTATCGGAAAGAAGCACAAAGAGATTATTTTCATATCATCAGGAACTTGACGATAACATCTGCAAAGACCCAGACACAATAGACGCATTGCTTTGAAGCGCTTGAAACAAAGAGCATGTTGACCTGGGAAGCTGAGGGTGGCCCTCATCAGATGCTTCGGACTCACGGGCATTCCCAGTCACTGCTCCTTCGACACATTTTGCCGCCGTGGGTGCTGACGGAGGGACGCGGGCTGATGTCGGTGTCGGCCCCCAGCATACAGACAGGGGCTCTGACACATGTGCATCTACTGCCGTCACTGGGGCCATCGCCCAGCAAGGGCCCTGTGAGCTTTGTGCTATGATCTGACCTTAGTCTAGTTATAAGGACAAGATATTGCCCCCAAAGTTAGGCTAATGGGCTGTAAATGCAAAACAAAACAAAACAAAACAAAACAAAATGTTTTTTGCATCTGAGTATTTTGGGACCCAACTGCAAAGTGATCTTAGACTCGGCTCTGAAATCGATGGGTGAGGTTTAGGAGGGATGTCACAGAAGACTCCCGGTCCCAGGAGGTGGAGCCGGACAGAGCATCAGAGCAGCTAGCGGTTCTCTACGTGGTCATCCAGCCAATGGCAGTGACAGCGCGTCCAGGTTTCCCCGACAGAATGTGCCTCCAGAGCCATGTCCACACGGTCACCCGTAGGTCTTGCTGCTGAATGGCATAGAGGCGCCTCCAATATTGAGTTTTCAGAAGCAGCTCTTCTGTGGTAAAAAAAATTTCCATCGTCTCAAAATCTCAGTAGTCTGGGCCTGACTTGGGCCCAGTCCCTCTGTCAACCTGGGTCTAGTAAATGATGGAGTTGGAGGAGACAGCCAGTGGCCATCCTGGCAGCTGTGTTGCCAGGGGCCTGCATTCAGAGAAGGCACAGGAACTCCAGGAAGGGGGGTCTCCACGCCCCCAGGAGAGGGGGTCTCCACGGCCCAGGCCTCGGCCTCCAGTCTGCTTTCAGCCACCTTGTCGATTCCTGCCCCGGTCCATCACTCCCCGCCAAGCTGCCAGAGTGCAATCCTGCCCCAGACAGTGTCTGCAATGTTCCCCTGACCTTGACCTTCACCTGGCTGACTTCTCCTCCTCCTCTAGGTCCAGCTTACCTGTCGTGTCTTCAGAGAACTCCTCCTCCCAAAATTCCTGCTTTTCTCCCTCGCATCAACTAATATGGCAACTGGTAAACATCTATCTTTGGTAGCCCCCTCAGGGGTGAAGACTGTGCAAGAAAAGACCCTGACTTATTAAAAAGGCATAGGCAGTTTTAAGAGAGAAGATAAAACTGAAAACTATGATAGATAGTGTTGTATACTAGACTAAAGTGACTTTAGACGCTGAAGAGTCAGCACGCTTTTTAAAAAAATTAGACCGAAACATGGTTTACTGGCTATGATGAAACAACTCAGAATTCAGAATTTTAAGTTCCTTGAAAGACGGCACATTAGCATCAGGTCATCGTGATGCTAACTGGATGACCAGGTCGTGAGAACAGGCTGTGTTCTTTCCCCATCAAAAATTTAATAATAACCGACATGTGTCTCATTTCATTTCACAAGAGATATTCTTGAAAAGTCATAACAGTTTTGCAATCATCGAAGGTGTTCTCAATTTAAAGGACTCTCATGGGGGCACATGTAAAGCACATCACACAAAGTAAATCTGAATACTGCAAATCCAAATTCTCGGAGGTTGGGGCTGAAGCGTGTACTGTGTCTGAGGAGCTGTCTGTGTGGATGGTGAGAGGCTCTCCACATTCGACTCATGAGTAGGGGGCTAGAAACGAATTAAAACTGAGAAGTGGATGTGCCAAACTATGACACTGAATCTATGCGGGATCAGCTTGCGGTAGACGTTTGTTTTCTATTAAGCTGGACCATTTTTTTGCAACAGCTGAGATGTGACAATCTGACCTACAGTAATGGCAATTCCCAGTGGTTTAACCTAATACTGTAGATACTCGGCAGTGTTTGAATTTTGTACAATAATTGTATGTTAACTTTGGTATGTGGGAAAATGGAACAAACACACAGGGAAAGTACGGAGTCATAAGCTGCCAGCCTCTAACACAACAGCATCCTGCCCAGCACTTCTTTCAAGAGGTGCTGACTTGTCTGCAGTAGGAACCCAAACCCAAAGATTCCTCTCCAGTACAAATGCAGAGACTTAAATGGAATCCCGTCTCCCAGTGGTCTAGCCTACAGCACAGGACCTTCAGGTAACCGTCCGAAGAACGCTTTACCATTCGACTATGGTAACTGTGTCCATTTGTATCGATTTTGTGAATGTGTCTTCAATGATACTGTGTCTCCTAGCCTGGTAGAAATTATTTATCAAAGACCTTTGCATAGTGTAAAGAGATGAACCCGACAACAGAAGGTTCTTTCTGCTTCTAAGATTCCAAGGGCAGACAGGACAACAGTGATCGACGGTAGAAGCAAATGAAGAACTGTGGGTTTCTTTTATACTTTTTTTCCTACAATGAAAATGTTCCGTGTTCAGGGCTTCGCCGAACAACCCTGGCAACATACTACTGTTGGGGTTTCGGTGCCCCTCCACGAGTAACAGAAATAGCTATGCCGTATGTAATCAGGGACCTACCTCAGCAGAGCATCTTACGTCTAAGGTGACTGTGTGTTCACCTGCACCCACTACAATACTAGTTAAGTGAAATCGAGTGATTTCTGGAGAGGAAAGCCTCCAAGGAATCGGGAAGGTGCTTCAATGATTCTGTTAACAGAGCACAGCTCATGTATTTCTAACAAGCCACGAGTCACGACATCTATTACCTCCCACTCAGTAACCAGGCAACGGGTTAAGATGATGCTACTTAATGGGCATCATAACATCCTGGGCAGCACAGCCAGGTAAGTAAAATGCCTGTTGTTCTCTGGCTATTTTTTCATCTTTGGAATATGCCCAGCATGCTTGCCACCTGAGGGCCTTTGTGCTTTCAGCTTCCTCTGACCCAGACACAGGATGCTTT